CACACACACACACACACACACACACACACACACACACACACACACACACACACACACACACACACACACACACACACCACACCACATATATACATATACAAACAGATATATGCGATAATCTACCTGATAAGAAGGGATCGAATCCAAGTGACGAGTTTTCTCTATTGGCGTCTGCTGAAATGATCCCATTATTTGATTAGCATTTATTGTTGCATAATATCAGTTACTGTTACTATTATCATTTCTTAGCATTATTGTTTTACTGTCTATAGTAGCTTTTGCTATCATTGCTTATTGTATTTATCATTGTTATATCTCAAATCATTATATTTATTGAGATTATTTCCATATCCACTGTAATTATTATTAATGATTATTCCGTAATTCAGTATCACCTACTTTGATCTATCATTTTTGTCGGCAATTTCTTCATCTACTACTTGAGTTACCTTTTGCCCTCCCCTTTTATTTGAAAAAAATGTCCAAAAAATTTGTCGAACTTCATGAATGAAATTTCGTTCTTCCAGATTTACGCATTATGTAAATTTTCCTTTTGCTTTGATCCATGCTTGTTTTGCTTGCAAGAAGATGGATTCTGGATTTATCACAAATTTGAAGAAGGTTTAAAATTTGGAATACATCTTTTAAACGCTACAACAGCATGGAAATTTAGAGAATTAGAAATCTGGAAAAAATTTCAGAAAAATTACTGTCCAATTAAATTTCCTAGAATTTCAATGATAATGTAATTTCAATATGAAAGATATAAGATTGAGCTAAATAAATGTTTTTCCATGACTAATATTTTTTCTGTAAAAATTGATAGGCTTGCCTGCGCCCAGTAAGGTTTCGAGACGGCTTCAAGCCTAATTTGCAAAAGTTCAGAAGAAAGTCGTCGATCGGATGACACGTCCTGTTGAGTTATTCGTTGATATGATGCTGGGAACAAACTTAGGGATGTGGCAGCTGAACGTGGTGGTGGTGGTGGTGGAGGTAACCGGCTGGTTGCTGTCCCAGTAGAAGAACTCTGGATACTGGTATTTGTTGACTTATTTAAGAGAAGAGGTAGTCGAATACTAATGGATTCCTCACCCGATGTATTATCGGGACCCCAATACGGTTGTTTCTGATGCTTTCGTTGTTCTAGCTGTTTATGCGGTACATATGGTACGCGATTGGTTTTATCACTTCGAGTAATGCTTATTCGATTTCCCGACTGATTCGGCGAAAACATGCAACCGTTGCTCTTTTTTGAGGTACATACGGCAGCAGAAATGGCTGAAACGTCACAGTTCAAAATGTTCCCAGCTGAAAGTGTTATTTGTTGGGTTTCGAGCAATTGTTTGTAGACGTACCACAGGTATCATAATGGTGTCTCATATCGGTGAACGAAGTGATATGAAAAATCAAAGTGTCACTTTGACTACAGTACTTTTTCAACACATTGCTTTAGCAATTTCAAAATTAAATGATTTTTTTTCCTCATAAAACCGAAAGATGGGATTGATAACAAGGGGAATTCCTGCAAAATTTAGATTTTATAGAGTTACAATAGACAATGATGTTACTGTGATTGTTATTCTGAATATTCAGATAATATTTTGCCAATTAATTCATAATGAGCATGACAAACTGTTGCTTCTATCGATTCTATTAGCATCAATTAAGGCATTTTTCGATCCAGAAAGCATGAATTCTGGACCGAAACTCTATTTTAATTGTTGCTTTTACAGTGGGATTAAAACTGTGCACTGGAAACTGCCAACAGTAAACATAAATTTAAAATAATGTTCCCAATGGCAATAAAAAATTTTGTTTTTTCATTGAGCTACTTCTCCATAAACTCAAAGATCAACCATTGCAACCTATTCATAAGAAAATTTCATTAATGCTTTAGAAAAATAAAGAAATTTCGTTACGAAGTACCATACACACACATACACACACACACACACACGCACACACACACACACACACACATACACACAGACACCAAGTATTAATGGATTATAGGCTTAAATTACCTAGCCATTAACTCAAGTAGTTGGCAGGGGATTCGCGGTATCTTATGGGTCGTAGAACTTTAGAGATCACTTTAGGGATTGTTCCTAAATGTCACATAGGATTTTGGTTTAAGTTAAAAGAGAAAAGAAAACTTAAATGATAAGAAGAATTTATTAAAAATTGTAAAGGAATAAACTGCTAGTAAAAATTCCGTTTATTCAAAGATTTTCCCATTCAAAAAAAGAAATAAATCGGAATAAATATGCAAAATTTCTAATTTCTAATAAACGTAAGGTTGAAAATAGGTAGATAGAATGACAGATCAGACTATGACAAGCTATAAGATTAACAACAAAAAAAATTTGTCTCCGTCTCTCTCTATTTGGCACCTAAAGCAAATATCAATTACTTTGCATTGAAAAAGATTTCAGCAAGCTGGAACAAGACTAAGTCCTTTTTCTTTTTCTTTCTTTTCTTTTTTTGGGTACAAACATTTCCCTAGTGGCTTGTTGTAAGACCTGAAATAGTGAGCGTTGTAACAAAAAAAAAAAATGATTAGATTTTTAGTTTCCGTAAGAGGAAAAGCTATGCCTCGATAAGGGCAAGATAATTATTGCTAACTATCAATGTTTCTCGTATTAAAGCACTTGGGCTAGTGAAAATGAATTGATTTGAGTACAATAGAATTTATTTGGAACGAATTAAAATAAATTTAATTGAATTAGGCTCAATCAGATGTGAACCAAAAGTGCATGGTTTAAATTTAACAAAAAATCAAATATCATTCACTAATAGTTCTTGGCTCAGAAAAGGTGAAGCACGTGATGTTGAAGTTCTAGAAAGCAAACAATTAGGGATAAATAAACCAGAAAAAGAAAGAAAGAAAAATGTTTTCAATTAAATAAAAAATAAATAAAAGTGCCAATTTTTTTAAATAAACTGCTTTTAGCATTGATAAGGAAATCAAAAGTGGTGAACCTTTTTTTTTTCCAAATTTTTCTTTTACCATTACACTCACATTCTACCATCATTCTATTATCTTGATGAAATATATATCTTCAAGATTCCTTTTTCTATGGTTCATTTGTCAACCCATTAAGTAGGAAATGGTCGATTCATTTCATGCTAATATGCTGTTTTCATCGTTGAATTCTGATTTTTTTCCTCATCTTTCTTTTTTTTTTGAAAAATAGCGCATAAACTCTCAGAAAGTCGTACTTTTGATTTATTCGAGAGAAATTTGACGACATTTTTAGCAGCAAAGCATACGATATGATTTCTAAATTGTAGTATAAAAAGTTTGTAGTGAGCGGGTTAAGGTTAATTTCTTTTGTGATATAAATGATGATTTATCTTTTCCTGAATAAAATTTTAAGCTTCAGCAATCAACATTTACTTTACCATTCATGGCAGTAAATGCTAACTGGCAAAAATCAGAAAAAGGAAAAAAAAAAAAAAATTGCTCGCCTGGCTTTGCCAGGAATTTGCCGCATGTCTTCCGATCAATGATTATTTTGTTATCAGACTCACTTTTTAAACTTATCATAACATGTAAGTTAATAAACGCTCTTTTACCGTATCCCCTCTTATACTATGTAAATATGAATTGTGTTTCGTCATGACTGAAAATTCCAATTTCATATTTTTTAGATACATTTTAAATCCGAAAAAAAAGTTTGTTTTTTACGTCCAAATTTTTCTGAGCAGTGGAATGGGGAATGATATGGAAATAACGACTGAATACAAGCACAAGAGAAAGATTAGCTAAATGAACACAGGTTATTGATAAGTAAATTGTTTTAGAGATTAATAAATAATTAATTGAATGAACTATGGAATGAAATAGTGAAATAGCCACAGAAAAATAACGCGAAATTGCAAAAATTTAAATAAATATTTGAAAAAAAATTCCAACAAAAGTGAGCATTAACTGGTATTATTTATTTGCAAATCGTTTTGACAAAGTGTAATTATCCGATTCATTTTCAGTTTGTCATTCTAATGCTAAGACTATTTGATTTCTTCCTGTCCAGCGACAACCACGATTGACACTTGTCTCATTCATTTTTTTTTCTCAGAAAGATTTTAAGGAAGCTTTAGAACTTTTAAAACTCAAACATGTATTTTATTTGGTGTTTTAATTGATTATTAAGATGGAATATTTCCGTTTAAAATAATTATTTCAATTCTTTCCTGAAACTATTCATACATAGGGAGCAAAGATCACGGAGTCACAGACTAGCTGCCCAAATGTTACAGAACGAAATTTTGTCACCTTATTTAATATGGCGGAAAAGTCTATTTTTAAATGAAAGTCAAAAAATTTGGTTAAATTCATGAAGGCCATAGCAATAAATGTTTGACACGAAGAATTTGGATTTCAATGAAAGATTGATTGTCTCTCCACCTCCCTTCCTTGTTGAGCACTTTTTAAAAGGCTACCATTACACTCCAATAACAGAATGTTTTGGGAGCTTATCGCAATCTCCAGGAAGTATCCGATGCTTTAGAAAAGATCAAACAACGTTTATTTGAATTTCTGTCCTTCTAGTGGTGTAAAAAAAAAAGAAATACTCGTCAAGAAAAAGAAATTGTTGTGGTCTGGCATTTTCCCGAGACAAAAATCAATCAATAAGACATTCTTCGATAATATGCTCTTTGAATTATGCTGCATAATAATGTTATTTATGAGGTGTCACATATATTCCAATCTAATATCTTCCTTCCTCTAAATTACAAAAAAAAAGAAAAGGATAAAAAGAGATGCAGAGCAATCGGAAAATAAATGGCGAAAAAAGTAGAGGGGATAAGAATCGGTGCAAGAGAAAAAGAAAAATGGAATGAGGGAGGAAGAAGAAATGATAAGCCTGAATGAAGAGATGATAAGATTTGAAGCATTTGAAGAAGAAATGATAAGATTTGAAACATTCGGTTGATAAGATTTGAAGCATTTGAAGAAGAAATGATAAGATTTGAAGCATTCGGTTGACAATGTACTGTCACTTTGTTGAAGCTTTGTTGATGATGACCTCAATGATGCCCTGAATTCTTAGTATATGTCGGCAAATATATTTAACAGATAGTTTCACTGATTATCTTAGTGATATGCATTTATTGAAATCATATTTACCTGGCTGTTTATTCATCAGGTGAGTAGGCTCATCTAACAAGAAATGGCGGCCTCATTCATTCCTCAAAAAAGATTTTCGAAGGGTATAAGGGTAAAAAATAGAAGGAAGGAAATTTTCACTATCTTCATAAATAAAATAGTGGTAGGCATCATAGAAAACGAATTATGCTGCAACCAACAGAAAAAAAAAGTAGGAAGTGAGTGGGAACGGCTACGGAACACTTACGGATGTCATAAAGGACTCTCCAAGGATGACAGGAAAAGGAACAATCATCGGCTGAATCGATTCTTGTCATCTTATCATTTCTTTTGGTAGAAAATAGCATTTTTTTCCAAAATAAAGGACTTACAAGTTTGAAATACAATTCCTATTTTGGATTAATATCAACCACTCTTCCAATCACATTAATAAAGTAGACCTCAACTTTGAACATTTTGGAAGTTTCCGAAAAGAGCATCGCAAAAGTTTTCTGGTGATTGATGAAAGTATTAAATTTCTATGAATTATATTTTCTTTTCTAAACACATTGGCCAAATAAAGCTGTGGTCGAACAATTTTTGGGCTATTACAAAATAAGACCAGACGGAAAAATGGAATAGGAAAATTAGATAAATAAATTATTAGAATTTGTAATATTCTCAAATGCTTATATTCAATGATTTTTGATTCAATTTCTCATTCATTCACAAATTACATCCAAACAATCTTCTGGTTATGACTAACAAGTAACATTTAAGAATTAACATCAACTCTGAAATACTTGAAAAGTAACTTGTATATTCTATCATTAAAACTTTTGAACTGGGTAGAGATTGGAGGAGTTAGTAAGAATGAAATTAGCTTACTGCGACCAATATTTAATAGTATTTTGACTGAAATATTGATAGATCAAATATAATTAGAGATAAATCAGCTGGTAGGCAAGTTCGATAATACAATGTGACAAGCGGGAAACATCAAAGTGAGTGACTTTCTCACAATTGATTTGTTGCTTTTTATTTAAGAAAGGTTATAGAAAAGTAAACAGTGGTAAAATAAAGTGTTAGAAATTTCATGTGGAATAATTTTCATCCCATTTTATGCATTTAAATGAATACAT